ACGGCGAGCACGCGTAAGTTTGGGAGTTGTTCGCTGACCCTTGGCGAGGTCATTGATGTGCACCTTTGATTAAATTGGTGCAATTGGTGTAAATTGGGTGCGCGGACCAACTCCTGCATGTAATTCGAGATGTATTGCACGAAAAAATAGTATGCCTACTGAAAAGTAGGAAGTAGCTTTTTAGTTGTAAAAATGATTGGCATCACTAATCCTGCTTGCCGAGGCTCCTAGCCAAGCTAGAGGCTATAAGGGTTCTTAATTTTCTTACTGACTTTATCCGATGTTAGCGTTCTAATCCAAAACAATAGGTCTTAGTGGGATCCTCAGACTCTACTGCTGCCGCAATTGTAAGTGGTGTCCTTCAAGTTTCCGTGCTAGGTCCTCTTCATTGAATGTTAAACACTCTCAATGTTATATTTATATGAATGATCTTGAGTGTGCTTACCCCTTCTGTAACTCTACGGCCGCGAGATGCCTAGAACAAATTCATTTTGAGTTGAACGCTCGTTCTGCGTGAAGCTCAGCATGACAAATGGAGTTCTTACGTTCTAAGTGCCGATAAATGTGCTTTGGGAATTAAAGGGTGCCACAGCATGCTGTCTTTCAAGTTTGCTCAACGAATGAATGTTCTAACATTAATGACCTAGGTTTAATCTACACTAATAAATTAGATCTTTCCCCACACGCCGACAGAATTACGGTCAAAGGTGCACAGATTTGCTTTATTTCTTAGAATTTCTATCCTCCTGAAATGAAATTAAGACTTTATCGTATGTTTGTGCTTCTCATCTTAAAATACTGATGCCTATTCTTTGGTCTGATGAACGAAATAAGCCACTCACAAATTAAAAGATTACAAAAGCAGTTCACACGAAAACTGCTTTATCCAACATTTTATAGTACTTCTTACTCAAATAGATGCCTATTAACGAAACTAAGATTTCTTTGGGTCAGGAGACTGGAAGCAGCTTTTTTTCTCCTTTTTCGCCTTTCTAATAGCACACTTTCTGTAATT